AGGACGGGCCTGAAAGACCTCGGGATCTTTGCAATGACGAAGCAGGTTGTTTTCAGCACTACCTTGGGCAGTCTTGACTTAGGAATATTCCGGTGCCATCTGGAGATAATCTCTTGCTTTCGTAATCCATAACGTGAGAAAGTCCTTAAAAGACGTGCAATAACTTACAGTGAAACAAAATTCAGGGAAAAGAAAACTGGGTATTGGAAGATCAAAAGCCATTAACAAAGAAAAAAAAAAAAAAGACCCTGGCTGGCGTAGCTCAGTGGATTGAGCGCGGGCTGCGAACCAAAGTGTCACAGGTTCGATTCCCAATCAGGGTACATGCTTGGGTTGCAGGCCATGACCCCCAGCAACCGCACATTGATGTTTCTCTGTCTTTCTCTTTCTCCCTCCTTTCCCTCTCTAAGGATAAATAAATAAAATCTTAAAAAAAAAAAGAAAAGAAAAAAAGGAGGAGGAGGTAGGAAATAAGAAGCGTCCCTGTAGCAAGAAAAGGAAGGTGCATTCCCTTGAACAGCAGGAACATCTTCGTTCATTAGAAGAAAACCTTTCTGGCCTGTCCCTGAGCTAATGGGAATCTGGCACAGCAGCGCTTGTGTAAGGGGCACAGACTGGAATAATGAAAAACACATTACACTTGATAACATCTTTATAACATATTCGCTGGTATTTCACAAGTGGCTATTCTTAACTCGAGCCTCAGCCAAGCTAGGATAGAAAGCCTCCTTTCGTAAAGGCAGTTTAAGAAAGGGATCCAAGGTTTTTATTTCGCTTTCTGGTGATCACGTTGTCCTAGAGGTTAACGGGTGCAGCCTAGGAATAAAAAGTAAACCATTCTCATGGGTGAGGGGCGGGGTCAACAGAATCACCCCAGGGCAGGTTAAAGTGAAGTGTCTCAGACCAAAACTCCCACCTAGGAAATTAGAATCCCTGGTATAGAACCTAAGAATTTATGCTTTGAACAAGTACCCAGGTGCATTGCATTAGACTCTCCTTCCTAAACAGATGTTATCTCAGCGAGGCTTCTAACTATAGTTAAAGATAGCAACGCCAACTGAAGTCACCAAAAATAGACAGAAGACAGGTAATCCTAAACATAAGACAAGTGGTTCTTAAGGATAATGATTTAATCTGACTAGTAAAGACTACCTTTTCTGGCCGCAAGGGCCATAGATTATGAATTTTTAAAAATGTATTACATCAATTTTCAGGCAGATAACAATGAAGTGTCATGCTCTAACAAAAATCAATATATTAGAGGGGAACAGCCGGTTAAGATGGCAGCACAGGCAGAAGCAGTGCTCACAACTTCCCACGATCACGTCAAAATCACGACAAACTAGAGAATGACCAACAGAAAGGCCTGAAGCCTAGCTGAGCAGAAGTCCTCCAACTAAGGATATGAGAAGGAAGCCCCATGGAGACTGGTAGCAAGGGCGGAGACACAGAATGGTTTGGTCCCACATCCACATGTGGCAGATCAAAGCTGGGAAGGTATCTCTGATGCATAGGCATCCCTCAAGGAGCCAAGGGTCCCAGCCCCACACTAGGCCACCAGCTCAGGGATTCTGTGTCAGAAAGAACACAGAATCCCCGTAACTTCTGGCTGTGAATATCAGCGGGGATTGTGGCTGAGTGAGACAGAGGCTTCTGGGGTCCCAGGCATTTCTAGTAAAGGGCTCACGCACGGATTCACTCAAACTCACTCTGAGCTCCAGCACTGGGACAACAGTATATATGGGAAGGAAAGAGTTGTCTGGAATCGGGTCAAGGGCTGGAGGGGCAGCTTTCTCCCAGACAGAAGTGCTGGCAGAGACGATTGTTTTCGCTGAGCTTCCCCTACAAAGCCTGCAGGCAGGCGCCATACCCGAGTCTCTCTCAACCACTGTCAACCACTGGCCCTGTTTGCTCAGGCCTGGTGATTTCCTGAGACCCTGCCCCACCCAACTTGCAGGCGCACCCAAGCGATTTTCCAGTGGCTTTTCCATACTGTCTTGGCTCATGCTGCGGACTTTCCTAAAATCTCTGAAACAAGTAGCATCTGCCCTTGGGTGCCCCATACCTCTCACTAGGTGTCCTCAGGCCCAGCTCTAGTGGCAGCCAAAATTGGTTTACAGCTTGGTCTCTCGTGGGTACCTCCAAGCCCAGCACAAATAGCAGCCACCTGCAGACCACTCTGCAGCTCACGCCAGTTGTCCCCGGGCAGGGCATAGGTGGCAGCTGACCCAATACTTTCAGACAGAAACTTGGCAATGTATAATAAGAACCTTAAAATATTCATATTTTTGAGAAGCAATAGGGCAGAAAGGGCACAAATTCTTAAGCACAGATTCACATCCCAGCTCTGCTGTATGCAAGTGCTGAGACCTGAGTCTTGGTTTCATCTGTAAAACAATGGGACCAAGAGCATCTCTATTTCAGAGTTGTTTGCGATGTTCAAAGTAGACAGCACATGAGGGCACCGGACACACAGTGACTGCTTTATCAGTAATTACGGGTGCTGATCGGCTGACTTTAAAGTGAAACGCTACTTCATTTTTCAATTTACCAATAATGTCAGTCACACAAGGAAAAATGCCCTCTCCATATTAAGTAAGTATCTGTACAACTGGGAAAGACTGGGGACCACGCTGGCTCAAGAGTGGCCAACAGGGTCAGCTGACAGACCCCACGGTAACCTTAGGTCCATGAAGGCAGGGCCCACAATCATTGAGTTCAGTGGTTCTCAAACCTCACAGAGTATCAGCCACCCCCAAAGGGCTTCTTAAAACAGACTGCTGGGCACCCATCTCCAGAGTTTCCGGTTCAGTAGCTCTGGGGCGAGGCCCGAGAATCTGCAATTCCAACAAGTAACCAAGTGATGCTGGTCAGGGACCTCGCTTTGAGACCCTCTAGTCTAAGTTTGTTGCTGAATCTCCCTGCACCAATTCAGGCCAGTTCCTAATATATAGAAGACACTCAAATGTTTGTTAACTAAGACATATAAATAAGTCTACTACACTGTTTTTTACAAAGTATAAAACTAGAAATTACAAGAAAAACCATCCACGAAATGAAAGGCAGCCTACCCAAGGGGAGATAGTACTCACAAGTCATGTATCTGACAAGGAGTTAATATCCAAAATATACAAAGAACTCAAATCAATACCAAAACCTCCCAAACAATCTGATTAAAGAATATGGATAGAGGATCTGAACAGACAAGAAGACACTCAGATGGCCAACAGGTACACAAACAGATGTTCAGCATCACTCATCAGCAGGGAAATGCAAATCAAAACCACGACGAGGTCCTGGCTGGGTAGCTCCATTGGTTGGAGCATCGTCCTGCTACACTAAGGTTGTGGGTTCCATTCCCAGTCAGGGCACATGCAAGAATCAACCCACAAATGCATAAATAAGGGGAACAACCAACCGATGTTTTTTATCTCTCTTACCCTCCCTTCCTTTCTCTCTAAAAAATCAATAAATAAAAAATAAAAAACCAGCCCTGGCTGGCGTAGCTCAGTGGATTGAGCACGGGCTGCGAACCAAAGCATCGCAGGTTCGATTCCCAGTCAGGGTACATGCCTGGGGTGCAGGCCATGACCCCCCAGCAACCGCACATTGATGTTTCTCTCTCTCTCTCTATCTCCCTCCCTTCCCTCTCTAAAAATAAATAAATAAAATCTTTAAAACAAAATTAAAATAAAAAATAAAAAACCAAATGGTAAAAATATGCATTTCAAAAAACCATAATACGGTATCACCTCATACCTGTTAGAACGGCTGGTATCAAAAAGACAAGATAACTTTGTTGGGGAGGAGGTGGAGAAAAGGGCTCATGCACTGTAGGCGGGAATGTACACTGGAGCAGCCACTGTGGAAAAAGATATGGAGGCTCCTCAAAAATTTCAAAAGCAGAACTATCATAGGATCCAGAATCCCACTTCTGAATATTTATCCAAAGGAAACAAAAATGTTATTGTGAAAAGGTATGCAGCCCATGCACTGCAGCAATATTTACAATCGCCAACACATGGAAGTGACCTAAGAGTTCACCAACAGATGAACGGATAAAACGCATGTGATACACACACAACGCAACAGCACTCGGTCATAAAAAGGAAGGCTATCTGGCTGTAGACTAAGTGAAACAAGTCAAACACAAAGACCAGATCATTCACTTACAGGTGGAGTCTTTAAAAACAGGGACACTCAGATACAGATACGCTCAGAACAGACTGGTGGCTGCCAGAGGCACAGCACGGCGGTGGACAAAATGCATGAAGGGAGTCAAAAGGTACAAACTTCCAGTTATAAAGCAAGTCCTGGGGATGCAGCGCATAGTGTGGCGACCACAGTTAAGAACACTGTATTGTACATTTAAAAGTAGCCAACTAGATCTCAAAAGTTCTCATCACAAGAAAAAAAACTGTAACAACGTATGGTGAGGGATGTTGACGTGACTTATTGTGGTGATTGTTTCACAGTAGATACAAGTATCAAGTCTATGTTATACACCTGAAACTACAGTATAACACTGCATGTCAATTATATCTCAATTTAGAAATCACAAGTGCAATAATATTGTAGAAACACATAAATGTATACCAAATAAGAAAAGGTAATACAAAATTATACTTATAATAATTTAAACTACATTAAATACATATATACACACACATGGATTAATGGCAAAAGGTATCAAAAATTACTTAGCCTTTGAGTTTAGGATTATGATAATTCAAGGGTTTTTTTGTTGCTTAAAGTTTACTCAGAAGATATTTTAAGGCTGAATTAATATGAAATAGCAATACTAAATAGTTAAAGTACATAATTAAAAAAAAAACAGCTACCACAGGATCTTGTCACCAAATAAACTTGTCTAGTGCAGGCATCTATAAATTGGTTGTTGGTTTCCCCAAAATTGGTGTAGTACAGTGGTCTTGAAAAGCCAGCACAGAAAAACGACAAAATGAAGAACATACGCGCACGCATGTGACATCAGACATCACCTGCCACAGGAGGGACGGGGCCGTAGAAAAGCACTGTGGCGCGTTCTCCACTGACATCAACTCTTCGACCAATGACCTCTGGCGTCAAAGTGTCACTCATGATAACGGTGCCAGAATCCACAACAGGAGATCTAGAAAGAAAAGTACAACATTGACAAGAACTTGCTGGAATTCTTAAAATTTTTTGCAAACTTCATGTAGATATTCATGAGGTCGGTGCCTCTGACCAGGTTAGTCTTCGTATTTTGGTGAAGAGAACCTAATAGTCTTACATACCATATGCTGATAATTTGATTTTACTTTACTATCTAACTATATGTTGATAATCTTATGTGTTTTTTAAACCTTGTTGAGCTCCAGTTAGCTCACATCACATGCCTTGTCTATTCTGTCGCTTACTGGAGCGGGTGGGGAGGGAAGAGAAGCGAAGGGGATGAAGTGATGGAGAAAAGGGAAGAGAAATGGGCGATGTGAACACCATCCTCGCCTCAGGAAGGGGGAAAAGACGACCCCACGGATGTGAGAAACAACACCTATGATGAGCAATAAATAAAAGATTAAACTAGTAGAAACACAGAAGCCTAAAAATAAAGAGAAGGCCTCAAAGGAGCCTGAGAAAACAGCATTTCCTGTCTACGAGGGATAACTAGGCCCAAGCCCCACTTCACAGGAAAGCAGCTGAAGCCAGACGACGGGAACCTCCCCAGGGCAAACAAGTCCGTTTTTTCAGCAAATGAAATGCTGGAGAAAGAGCAGCAGACGGAGTGAGAGCAAAGAGAGTAAAAGAAACTTAAGAGATTCGTCAACCAATTGTAATGTACAAACTTTATTTGGATTCTAATTTTTTTAAGTTTTCATTTATTGATTTTCAGGGAGTCAGGAAAGGAAAGAGGGGGAAGCATCGATCTGTTATCCCACTTACTTACGCATCCACTGACTGAATTCTTGTGCGTGCCCTGAGCAGGGATGGAACCTGCAACCTTGGCGTATGGGGATGATGGTCTAATCAACTGAGCTACCCAGCCAGGACTGGATTCTAATTTTTTAAAACTGTAAATAATTTTTTAAGAGAAATTATGGCTCTGGCCAGTGTGGCTCAGGTGGTTGGAGCATCATCTGGTAACAAAAGGTTGCAGGTTTGACCCCTGATCCAGGTACAAATATCTTATATCACTTTACAGCTATCACAGATTTCAAAACATACTTTACATTAATTGCTATTTCAGTTACAGTATTTATTAGACCGGCCACTAGATGTTGTCATTTATTATATTAATAAACACACATTATTCTATTCTAGTTTTTAAAGATTTTATTTATTTTTAGAGAGGGGAAGGGAGGGAGAAAGACAGGGAGAGAAACGCTAATGTGTAAGAGAAACCTCAATTGGTTGTCTCTCACATGCCCCCATCTGGGGACCTGGCCCACAACCCAGACATGTGCCCTGATCAGTAACTGAACACGTGACTTTTCAGTTCACAGGCTGGCATTCAACCCACTGAGCCACACCAGCCAGGGCTATTTATTTATTTTTTTAGAGAGAGGAAGGGAAAGAAAAAGAGAGGGAGAGAAACATTGATGTGTGGTTGCCTCTCACGCACCCCCTACTGGAGACCTGGCCCGCAAGCCAGGCATGTGCCTTGACTGGGAATTGAACTGGCGACCCTCTGGTTTGCAGACCAGAGGTCAGTCCACTGAGCCACACCAGCCAGGGCTCCTTTTTCTTATCTTAATTGTGCAATATTCATTAAAATTTTTAACAATTTATTTCTTCTAAAAATAACTTTTTTTTTAAGAATAGAAGACTCAACCTGAAAAGGCATCATTTTCACCTATTTTCTGCCTTTTAGGCCAGCATCTTTCCCTTTTAGGACATGAACGTTTTCTGCCTGTTGGCCTGTCACTCACTCACTACAGGAGTGGGTGGACATGTGGCCCAGGAGAGCTAATCTGATGACCCCTCACCTCTATTTCCTGCGTCCAGCACTGGCCCCTGTGTGAAAACCCTAATCCAAGCAGACCAGTCTTTCAGAATATGACATCAGCACTTGAAGAGGGGGTCTGTCTCTTTCCTTCCCAAGACCATAAAACGAAAGGTCCACTTAAACCTGGAATAACTTAGGGGCACTGTTGTCACTATGTGGAAAAAACTTGTCTGAAAACAATAACTCTACAAACAAGAAAGCAGAGTTGAACCAGCCATGCCTAAAGACTTTCATTAACTCCGTTAAATGAAATACTAAATTACTTTTTTTTATTTTTTTAGTTTTTAGAGATGGGAAGGGATGCAGACTGGGAGAGAAAAATCCTTGTGTGGTTTCCTCTCACATGCCCCCCACTGGGGACCTGGCCTGCAATCCAGGCATGTGCCCTGACTGGGAATCGAACTGGCAACCCTTGGGTTTTCAGGCCAGCACTCAATCCACTGAGCCACACCAGCCAGGGCCCTAAATTACTTCTTCTGCTTATATCAATTTGAGCTAAGTTTCTTTCCCCTGCAACTGCAAGAACCCTGAAAAAAAAAAACATAAGAAGTTAGGTTATATTTGCTCCTATTTAACATTAGATGGTCATTACATGCAGCCAGTCTGCTAGATGGAAATGCTACCTCTCCAGCTACATGCTAGCTATAGGACACTGGATAATTTAACCTGTGTCTGTTTCCTCATCTGTAAAATATTGATAATATTAGGATCTATTTCATAGGGCTGTTGTAAATGTTATATGCATGAATGCTCAACATATTGTAAACAGTAAATGTAGCCATTAAGATTGTAAGATTGTATATTTATATAAGAGGAAAATGTCCCATAAATCCAAAGAAATATATTACAAGTTCAGAAGAACAGAAGCTGATATGGGGAAGTTAATCACAGGAAGCCTACTGCCCACAGTAGGAATGGATTCCAACATCACTGGCCACACTTCCTTCCTCCTTAGCCAGGAAATCCAAACAGATGCCTGATGCAAAGTAGAAAAGTTAAAAACATTGGTAGTTTGTGAATTAATGTTAGAAAAGATTTTTCAATGTGGGTTTTATCTTGCTAAATGTATTTTCTTAAATCTTTCCCTGATATCTGTTCAAAGTTGTACCAAAATAATTGGTGAGGTCTGATGCATCATTCACACACCAATACCTATCAAGTAGAAAGCTCAGCCTCAGTGGAAACACACCTGAGATGTAGAAGCTCTAGGCAGTAATCCTGGCTCAGGATCACTAAACAGCTGTGAGTCCTGAGATTCGTTAACCTTTCTGTCACAAGAGTATGAGGAAGCGGAAGGCATGCTCTTACAGCCACGGGTGTCCACCCTTTTGGCGTCTCTGCGCCACACTGGAAGAGTTGTCTTGGACCACACGTTACTGCAACGTGTAATCACAGAAACATCTCAGAATGTTTTAAGTAAATTTACAGTTCTGTGTTGGGCCACATTCACAGCTGTTCTCAGCTCCATGTTCCCCTTAGGCTGCAGGCTGGACACCCATGAACTTCATCTAATTAGGAGAGATGTGTAAAACTAAGATCTAAAATTAGGAATGCAAGGATCAAATTCGGTGATGGAAGAGAACCATGTATGGCAGGAGTGAGGGAAGGCACAGGGACCCCAGTTAGTATTGTGATAACTATGTATGGGGCCAGGTGAGTACCTGAAATAGCGGGGGTTTCACTTCGTAAACTACATGACTGTCTAACCACTATGCCGCACATCTGAAACTAACACAGAACAATACTGAATGTAAGCTGTACTTGAAAAAAAAAAAAAAGAGTGAGGAAAGGCTCCAAGTAGAATCCGAGCCCTGGTTAAGCTGTTAGGAATGGGCAGCAGAGAGAGAACACACTTTGCAGGTAGGGAAACCAAAGCAGGTCTCACTGATTGGAAGTTCATGCCGGGAGACTAAACTCAGGAATACCTTTAAAACTGTATGGGCAAAATGTCATTTACTTTTAAACTACCACCCAAAATGTAACAATCTCCAAATATTTAGATCAATTTTATTTTATATTATTTATTTTCATTTTATTGATTTTTGAGAGAAAGAGGAAGAGGGGAAGGAGAGAGACGGAGAACGAAGGGGGAGGGGAGGGAGAGAGGGAGGGGAAGACGTATCAAATTGTTGTTCCACTTATTGATTCATTCATTGGTTGATTCTTGGACGTGCCCTGATAGGGGACTGAACCAACAACTGTGGCATATTGGGACAACATTCCTACAAACTGAACTCCCCAGCCAGGGCCTTCTTTAACCCAATTTTTAACAAGCCCATCTGCTATCTTTTTAAAAAAAAATTAAATATATTATATTGATTATGCTATTACAGTTGTCCCAGTTCCCCCCTTCACTCCCCTCCGCCCTGCACACCTCATCCCATGGGTTGTACGTATAAGTTCTTTGGCTTCTACATTTCCTATACTATATTTACCCTCCCCCTGTCTATTTTCTACCTACCATCTGTGCTACTTATTCTCGGTACCTTTGCCCCCTCTCTCCTCCTCCCACTCCTCTGTTGTTAACCCTTCATGTGATCTCCATTTCTGTGGGTCTGTTCCTGTTCTAGTTGTTTGCTTAGTTTGCTTTTGTTTTTGTTTTACGTGTGGCTATTAATAACTGTGAATTTGTTGTCATTTTACTGTTCATACTTTTTATCTTTTTTTCTTAGATAAGTCCCTTTAACATTGCATATAATAAGGGCTTAGTGATGATGAACTCTTTAACTTGACCTTATCTGAGAAGCACTGTATCTGCCCTTCCATTCTAAGTGAAAGCTTTGCTGGACAGAGCAATCTTGGATGTGGGTCCTTGCCTTTCATGACTTGGAATACTTCTTTCCAGCCCCTTCTTGCCTGTAAGGTCTCTTTTGAGAAATCAGCTGATAGTCTGATGGGAACTCCTTTGTAGGTAACTCTCTCCTTTTCTCTTGCTGCTTCTAGGATTCTCTCCTTCATTTTAATATTGGGTAATGTAATGATGATGTGCCTTGGTGTGTGCTTCCTTGGGTCCAACTTCTTTGGGACTCTCTGAGTTTCCTGGACTTCCTGGAAGTCTATTTCCTTTGCCAGATTGGGGGAGTTCTCCTTTATTATGTGTTCACATAACTTTGCCACTTATTGCTCTTCCTCTTCCCTTTCTGGTACCCCTATAATTTGGATGTTGGAATGTTTAAAGATGTCCTGGAGGTTCCTAAGCCTCTCCTCATTTTTTTTGAATTCTTGTTTCTTCATTCTTTTCTGGTTGGATGGTTCTTTCTTCCTTCTGGTCCACTCCATTGATCTGAGCCCGTTTCCTTCCCATCACTATTGGTTGCCTGTACATTTTCCTTTATTTCATTTAGTGTAGCCTTCATTTTTTCATGTAATTTGTGACCAAAATCAACCAATTCTGGGAGCATCCTGATCACCAGTGTTTTGAACTGTGCATCTGATAGGTTGGCTATCTTTTTGTCACTTAGTTGTATTTGTTCTGGAGCTTTGATCTGTTCTTTCATTCGGGCCATTTTTTTTTTGTCTTGCTGTGCTTGTTATGCGCAGTGAGGGGTGGAGCCTTAGGTGTTCACCAGGGCGGGTCAACCCAGTTGCTGGGTTGTGACGCTATATGTGGGGGAGGGGTCTGAGAGGGAACAATAGCACCTGCTCCGCTCTCTGCCCGATTTCAGTCACTTCCCCCGCTTCTCACAAGCAAACTGGGCCCTTCTGGTGCTGATTCCCAGGTGGGTGGGTTTGTGCACGTCCTAGTCTCCTGTGAGGCTGGGAGTCTCTCCTACTGCCGCCTCAACCCCCACAGGTGTTTTCAATAAGTGGTTTGAGTCTTTATTTCCCTGCGCTCGGGTGCTGGGTTGCTCAGTCTGTCTCTCTCCCCAGTTTCTCCTGGTTTATCTATGAGAATGTGGGACCGCCCAGTCCCGCAATCTGCCACCTCACCAGGTCCACCCACTGCAGCCTTGTGTGCCCCACTCTGTAAATTGCTGCCTCACTGGGTCCGCCAGCCGCTGCCTTGCCTGCCCTGGTCCTCCAGCTGCTGCCTTGCCGTGAGTCCTCTCTGCCCTTCCTACTGGTCTGGATGAGTATGCCTTCTTTAACTCCTTGGTTGTTGGACTTCCATACAGTTCGATTTTCTAGCAGTTCTGGTTGTTTTTTGTTTTAAATTGTTGTAGTCCTTCCTTTGGTTGTTCGAGGCGGCACAGTGTGTCTCCACCTGCCTCCATTTTGGCCGGAAGTCCTCATTTAAAAAAATTTTTAATTGTGGTAAAACACATAAAATTCATCATCTTACCATTTTAAAGCATACATTTGAGTGGCATTAGCTATATTCTCTGTTGTGACACCAAAATTACTAAAACCTTTTTCATCTCACAAAACTGAAACTCTATGCTCATTAAAGAATCGCCCATATCCCTTTCTCTCCAGCCCCGATCTTCTGTCTCTATGAACTTGACTCCTCTAGATATCTCATTAAGTGGAATCACAGTACTTGTCTTTTAGTAACCGGCTTGTGTCACTGAACAGTATGTCCTGCTGGCCTTTCACGCCCTTCGTACCCCATCTCAGAGCCTGTGTCTAAGCTGTACTTCATGGCTCCTTTGTCCTCACATATTGAATTGTATCACGTCATTTTAAGTAGCTCCTCCAAAAAGCGTTGGGCGTTTCCAAAGAAGCTGTAGACATGTCTTCTCTCTCAAACACCAGTGACTTAAATCTATACTAAAGCCACAATTTTTATGGCAAAACTACATGAAAGAGAACCAATAAAATTAAATATGAAAGGGTCAGTTTGTGCCCTTTCCCTACATACTTTCAAATACCACCAAGTCTTCCCAAATCTCTCCTCCACAAATTCTTTCCAGCTACTCCTAATAACTGGCAAATTGTGATGTTTCCCCTTTCTAGTAGTCCCTACATACTCTCTGAGTAATATTCATTTCACACATATTTTCTATGGACTCCTTTGCACACTTCCCAGCAAAATGCTAAGGTAAGGAAACTATCATAAAGGTTTTTAAAAATAAACTTTGAAGTGCTACACATATATAATAAATATTCCATTAAAATATATGATAAATTGCTCTGGCCAATGTGGCTCAGTTGGTTGGAGCGTCGCCCCATACACTGAAAGGTTGAGGTTTCAATTCTTGGTCAGGGCCCACACCTAATTTGCAGGTTTGATTCCCAGTCAGGAAGCATACGGGAGGCAACCTATCCAAGTTCTCTCTCACATCGATGCTTCTCTCTCTCCCCCACTCCTCTCTCTCAAAAGCAATGAAAAAAAAAAGTCCTTGGGCAAGAATAAATATATGTATAATAAACTAAAATAAAAAATAAATCAAACCACCAGAAAACAGTAATGACTACAAGTTTTATTGTTGAACATTTACATTTTATAAAAATAATTTAAGATTCTATTAAAATTGCATTGGATTCAATTTAGTATGCACAGTAAAATTAAAATTCAAAGGTTAACCACTATAAGAACAGAGACAGAATATATACACAGTAAATGTATCTTCCAAACAAGTAGAAGGGTAAAAAGAAAAAAAGAAGAGCTTGAGTGTTTTTAAAAAGGCAGAAAGGAGATTTAAAGACAGCAAATAAGGTATAAAGTATAAGATGGTAGAAAAAGTCCAAATCCCTTTGTTATAAAGAGACTACTACAAGCAAAATGCTGTTTTAGGCTCTAAGGATGCAGCAGTAAACAAAACATAAAAAAATACTTGCCAGCATGAAGCTTCCATCCTAGAGGAGGAAACATAATATCCAAGTAAATGACTCTATTATATGGAATGCCATAAAATGACAAGCACAAGGACAATGAGAACAATGGGGATGTAAGTGAAGGATACATCTGGGACAGCCTCACTGAGAAGGTAACATTCAAAACACATGAGGGAAATAAGGGACTAAACCATGTGGACATATTGAGGAGAGCATTCCAGGCAAAGGAATGGCAAGTACAAATATCCTGAGGCTGGGATGTGCTTGAGGAGCCCATATAGTAGAACAAAGGGGAGTATACAAGAGGGGAAATCAGAGGTAAAACAGGACTGCACCATAAAGGACCTTGGGGCCCTGGCTGATGTGGCTCAGTGGATTGAGTGCTAGCCTGTGAACTGCATTCCCTGTCAAGGCACTTGCCTGGGTTGTGGGCCAGGTCTCCAGCTGGGGGTGCATGAGAAGCAACCACACATTGATGTTTCTCTCCCTTACCCCTCTCTCTAAAAATAAACGAATAAAAACCAAATTTTTTAAAGGACCTTGGGGACTACTCTACAGACTTGACTTAGAGATCTGAGTGAAATGGATAGTCTTGGAAGATTTTTTGAAAGTTAGTAGATAATCTGATTTTTTAAAAGGAGGGTCATTCCACATGCTGTGATGCAAACAGACTGAAAAAAGAAAAATCAAAAAGGGAGAAAACTGTACTTGAACAATGATTAAAATAAAAAAATAAAATAATAAAAAAAAGAAAAGACAGACTAGTTAGGTGGCTACAGTGCAACCAGGTGAGAAATGGCTATAACTTTGACAAGTGAAGGTGGTGAGAAGGGTTTGGGAGCCTGGATAGATTTTGGAGGCAGAGTCCAAAGGACGTGCTGATAGACTGATTACGTGTACTGCGCGAAAGAGCTGAGTCAAGGATGACTCCCAAGGTTCTGGCCGGAACAAATATCTCCGCAGTAGCAATAAATCTAAGTACAATAAATGTGCCAGTTAAAAGGCAGAGACTGTCACCTAGGATTTAAAAAAACAAACAAACAGCGATATGCTGTTTATAAAAGCACACAAAAAGGTTAAAACTTTAAAAAGATGAAAAAAGTAGAGACAAACATCAAGTGACAGATGCTAGAGCTATATTAATGTCAGACAAAAGGAAAGTCTGCTATCCTAATCTCTATCTACTGTCTTTCTCTAACAGTATGGCATTTGTAAACTCTGTCTTCCCAAAGAAACTGAGGTTTTGGGGGGGATAGGGACGTCACACTCTCACCTGGGTCCACCCGCAACTTAAGACAGCCCCCAGCTGATAGTAAGCATTATGTAAAATTTTTAAATGTTCTCCACCCACTTAACATTAGTTCCCCTCTATCATAAATGTTAAATGACTTGGAAGGACAAAGCTATTTCTGTAACGTAACACCAAGTCACCGGTCCCCGGTACCAATTTCACCTCTTCCAAAGTAACAAGCCAATAGGATTTTTCTGTGACATGCAGGCGTAGGTCCATTCTGCTGGGCCCCGCCCGGGACCTGGTGTGTCCGCCCAGACACGCACAATGCCGCCCACACACGCACACCCTTGACTATACACACACACGCCCGCACGCTCGCGCGAACACACATATTCACAAACACAAACGCTCACTCACCCCCAGAGCCTGTGCATCTAGCCAAAGCCACAGGGAGCAGGCAACTCCCAGCTCCGGCCACCTGGGAAGTTTCTAAAAAACTTCGAGGAACTGAAAGAAAGAGCAACAGCACTGCAAGGCGACCACCGGCCACAGGCCACCAGGAACATTTGTCCCCTCGGCTCCCAAGCCTCTGCTACGCTCACCTGTCTGAAGCACTCTGGATGGACCGGAGGGCGGCCCCTCGCACGCTCAGTGCCACAGCACAGCTTCCGACTCTTTGCCGGAAGTGCCTTTTAGAGGACAGGAAGTCCCGCCCCCGCAGTGAGTGACAGCCACCGGAGCACAGAATGGATAGTAACCAGAGGTTCGTTCAGCCCACTTAGATCCAGCCACACAGCTGTCCCTTTGCTTCGGGAACAGTTCCACCAGAGCGTTGAGCACCCAGAACAGAACAACCCGAGAACCAAGCACGTTCCCGTTCCCTGGTTCGAGCTGCAAGTCCTGTACGAAGTTCAGCTAAGTGCAATAATGGAAAAAGCAAACGCCGCAATCATCTTAATGGCTCAGTGCCAGTTGCTCATATGTAAATATCTCCATGGCTTCTTGTCAGGATCAAATGAGATGACACTTAGGTAAATGTTTAGCAGTGGGGTCGCGTGCATGAGCAAAGCACACTAATGACTATAGTGTTGTTATTGTTGGTGTAAATGAAAGGCCATTAACCCAACCAAGGAGACACTGAGTAACACCAGGGAGGTGGCCTTCGTGATGAATTTTGTTAAAGGTGACCAGAATTTCACCCATTGTGAATATGTAAACACTGCTTTTGTTGTTTAGTGTGAGGATATAGACCAGGAGCGTCAAGCTCATTTTCACTGGGAGCCACATCAGCCTCGCGGTTGCCTTCAAAGGGCCGAAATCATTTTAAGACTGTATAAATGTAACTACTCCTTAACTGCTAAGGAGTTGAAATTATATTCGGCCCTTTGAAGGGAACCGCAAGGTTGATGTGGTCCTAGGTGAAAATGAGTTCGACACCCCTAATACAGACTGAAAAACCTTGTTCCCTAAAACTTAGAGAAGCTCTGTTGTGTGAAATCCTATCAGTAAGAATGGGAACACCCCGCTCCTGTCTGTCAGTAGAGACTGAGTCATACGGATCATTCTGACGCTTTTCCAATCCACGAATAGAGCTTCACATAAGGGGTTTTCAGATGTCACATCCCACATTTATTTTAACTTCATAAAGTTGTCAACAAGACTTTGGAGCCTGCTTCATAGCCCAGGCTCGAGCCTGCTTAATTCTTAACCTACATTCCCCTGAATCCTATGCTTTCCCAGGCTTTTTTTTTTTTTTTTTTTCCTCCTCCTCAGTGCCTCTGGTGTTCGGCTCCCTTATTTCGGCAAGTTAGTAAACCTGACTTTGCTAGACTGTAGGTTTGTCTCTGATAAGTTTTATCAGATGGGTTTTATTACTGTTTATTTTGACCAAGCCTCCTATACACATGAAGGTTAGACACCTTTGGTTCCGTCTTAGGAGAGGACTGAAGCAGAATAAGGGTACATTATTTACCAGTATTCATCTGTGTCCTGAAATGAGCTGTGGGCTTTTTAACTTTATAAAGTTTTTAGATTACCAGAACAATCTGACAGTAACCAGAGGGGAAGTGGGAGGGGATATTGGGGGGAAGGGGGAAGGGTTTTCAGGAACATCTATAAAGGACACAAGGACCAAACCAAAGGGGGTAGAATCAGGGGAGGGAGGTGGGGATGGCCGGGGTCAGGGGAAATGGTGGGGGGTGGGGGGGGGGATGCAAACCACTGTACTTGAACAACAGTATAATTTAAAAAATAATAAAAATAAATAAAGTTTTTAGATTACCTTTCAGAAGAGAATGACCACAGTTTGTTTGTGTTTTTTTGGTTTTTATTTATTTATTTATTTATTTATTTATTTATTTATTTATTTAGAGAGGGAAGGGAGGGAGATAGAGAGAGAGAGAAACATCAATGTGCGGTTGCTGGGGGTTATGGCCTGCATCCCAGGAATGTACCCTGGCTGGGAATCGAACCTGGGACACTTTGGTTCCCAGCCCGCGCTCAATCCACTGAGCTACGCCAGCCAGGGCTATGACCACAGTTTTTAAAAAATTATTGGCATCCACCAAATTCAGACCAGCCTCACAAGAGTTAGAAAAAACATGAATCTTCCTTTTAATTATAAAATATTTTCTTCTTCCCACTAAATTGTGAGAATATTTACTCCATTTTGCTCAGAGTGAAAAAACGACCCTCTCTCTCCTCAGTCCTTTGTCCTATTGATCCTGCGCACTGCTGCCTCCGCCCTGTTATCTCCCGGAAGTGCTTTCTCTTCTCCATCCTGTCTCTCCTTCCTCACCCCCCTCGCACTTTAATCCTTTTCAGCCTGGCTTTCTGGCTTCTCTCTTCCTTCCAGTGCTTCCAGAATTACTTCTCAAATGTCATCTGTGACTTCAAATCACCAAGGTGGTCAGTCTCCCAGTCCCCATAGCCCTTGATTTCTTCACAACATAAGTTGATAGAGTAATTACTCCTCTTTGTTGGAAAAACATTTTAAACATTGTAGAAGAAGGCTCAAACTTAAAATATCAAATATTTGCAATGCAGTCCACTTATAGTCTCACCATTCACTCACTCAGTATAATAAATTTTTAGTGAGTGCCAGCTCTGCATCAAATACTATTTCAGGACACTGGAGATCTAGCAGTGGAAAAGAAATACAATGTTCCCATTCTAGACCAATTTGTATCCTAAACATGGGACAGATGGTATAAAATAATTTCAGATTGTGCTGGGTGCAACAAAGGAAGTAAGAAGGTACTAACTTAAAGTAGGAAAGTGAAGAAGTCCAGTAAGATAAGAGAGAACTACTCACTAGGTTTTGTAAGATAAATGTCCGTGTCCTTGACAAGAGCAGTTTTGGTAGAATGGCGGATTCCGAAACCAGACTACATGCAGTGAGTTGAAGTGGCAGGAAGTTGAAGGAGCATAGGTAATGACTCTTCAAAGAAGACATTTTCTGATTGCCATATCAGTGAAATTTCTCTTTTTGGGACAGGGAGTTATAAATCACTTTGGAAATCTGATGAAAGTGGTCCACATAATGCAAAATTTGCATATAATTGCAGGGAGTTAATTAATCTTTTGAAGCTCATTAATGGACCCCATAGAAGCCCATAGGTTCCAGATTCAGAGCCCCTATATTTTCAATTAGCTGGCCTTTCCTTTCTCCCCGGGTGTCATATTCCTGTGATTGCTGCCTCGCTGACTTTCATCCTTGCCTGCTGCTCTTCTTGAGCTACAAACTCGTGACTACATCTGCTTTCTTGATTTGTGTTATTGGGACCGGGACACCTATTTCAGTATAAAAGCCCTTTACCTTTGTGGAGTAACTTAAAAGAAGATCAAGATCAGTGAAGCCCACTTGATTTCAGATTTGTTTAATTTCATAGTGTCTAACTGGACACCATTGGAGTTGAGGCTATGAATAATTGTTCACAAGGACATTCAGAAAAGGTTTATGTAAGAAAAAGCAATGAAAAGCTAATTCTCTCACTGTTACATTTTACAATCTTCCAGCCCCATCACTGGGCTGAGTCAGCCTTTCGCCGGAAGCTTCACCGTGGCTGATGCTTATCATGTAAAGTTGCCTCCAGCCTTCTTCTTATGAACTTGTGGTGCCTTCTCATGTGCAGCTTTTCCTCTTGGCATGCTACTTGTGAAGGTTAATGTGGCTAGGCCATGTTCTTGTTTGCTGGTGCTTTATTTTGTTATTGTTCAGTGGTGCTTTTATGACTTTTTAACTTTTCAATATTTGAATAGATAATATATTTATTCTTATGCTTCAAAAGTAAAAAGTAATAAAGGGGTAGCCCTGGCTGGGTTGCTCAGTTGGTGGGTAGAGCATCATCGTTCCTGATACACCACGGGTTCCATCCCCGGTCCGGTCAGGGCACATACAAGAATCAACCAATGAATTCATGACTAAATGGAAGAACTAATCAATGTTTCCTTCTCTTTTTCTCCCTCCCTTTCTCTATCTCTCTAGAATCAATACACTTAAAAAAGTATTTTTAAAGTAATAAATGGGTATACAGTGAAAGTTTCTCTTACTACTCATATTTCCCAGAGGGAGCACCAGGGTCAAGGAGCGAACAAAGAACTAAAACAGAACAAGAACCTGGGTTTGGGGTGGGGGGGGTGGGGGGAAGGAAACAGCAAGTGCTATTTAGCCATTTGGTCAGAGTCTGCTCCCAGATGAGTGGACTCCAGTAGTTTTTGCCACTCAAGAGTCTCCCTTTGCCCTGGCTGGTGTGGCTCAGCAGATTGAGCGCTGCTGGCCTGCAAACCAAAGGGTAGTTGGTTTGATCCCAGTCAGGGCACATGCCTGGGTTGCGGGCCAGATCCCCAGTAGGGGGTGTGAGAGAGGCAACCACATATTGACATTTCTCTCCCTCTCTTTCTCCCTCCCTTCCCCTCTAAAAACAACAACAACAACAACTACTGTTACAGGGTGCAGCCAAGAGGGGGGACCCCAAATGGGCATTTGAAATGGGGTCCAGAACTTAAGGTGTCCAGGAGATTTTAAGATGTCTCCATCCCCCCCACCCAGGGTGTGGGTTGGGGGAAGGGACAAATGGAGCAAGGCCATTGAGATCTGTTTTGCATAGCAACAGCCTTGCAGCTACCCTCTGGTGTGGTCATTTAACATATCTATAGCCTTTGGCTGGTCGCTTAGGTATGTTAAATAGCTGTGAACATCTCTGAGCCAGGGGAATGGAAGTAACTTCCCCACCAAGATGTGACTGGGGGCAGATCCCCCAAGCTGCAGTGCCTGCATGGGAGCTCGGAGAAGATTGGCTCCAGGACATGGGGCCACACCTGCCCAGACTCATGATGGCAGCTCAGTAAAGCTGGAAGGATATGAATTCTGGCAAGTGAAGCCGAGTGTGGGAGGAGTCGGAAATGAGGCTGCAGAGGAAGATTGGCCGCGGGGATTTAAAACCCAGACTTGGCAGCCATTGGAGAGAGAGAACCGTGGTGCTTTAGGAAAGAGAACCATGCTGCTTTAGGAAGGAGAGCCATGTGCAGCCCTGAGGGAGAGAACCATGTGGCTGTGGAGGTGCAGAGAG